AAATTAATATTTTTGATAATCATTTATTCATCATTACATAGCTAATGTAGCATTTGGATAAAGAAGAACGAGTTTGAATGAAATTATCGGGAATCACTATCTTGCGTTATTTATGTAATTTTTATTTATATTTTATATTGATAAGAATCCGAATTAAAGAATCGAAACATTTATTCGTTTTGTTACATTCACACGAAAATAAAGAATTTTCTGTGCATCGAATAACCGATGTAGACTCTAATGGGTTTTTTATATTTTTCACTGTTAGAGTCTTTCGAGCTTCATTTTATATATTTGTTTATGAATAATTGAGAATGAATATTGATTAATTATAGTTGCGTATTGCTCTGTTCTTGCTATGATAACTCAAAAATGGTTGTAGATATCGACTTCAACTTTTTTTAAAATAAAGATAATAAATTTTTCCATAAACTTAAGTTACTTTTGTGCACGCAAATTTATTTTTTAAATCCGTTTTAACAAATAATTTTAATATTTCGACATTTTTTTATTTTGCACTGTCATTTTGTAATCTTTATGTTCTTTTTCAGATTTTAGATTCAGTCTATAGACGAGAATTTCACCAATCACCAATAAACTAGCACCAAGAAAATTAGAAAATTTCCACTTGTTTATTCGAAATCATGGCAAGAACAGAGCAAAACACAAATCGCGCGATCGTCTTTCATTATCAATATTACTCTCAATTATTTACATTTTGTGGATTTTTGCGGCTGATTTTATTTGTTAAGAAAGCATTAAAAAAAATGTTAAAATAAAACCTGTTAAAAAAATTCATGAATGTTTATTCAATTGTCTACAAACGACATGAATTTGACACAATTTTTCAACCGTTCAAACCTTTCCACTTTTGTAGGGGAAATGTAAAAGATAAAAAAAAGATGATTTTTTTTAACATTTTTTTTTAAAGAATACTCATTGTTTAAAAAATTTTTGCACATTTTAATGCAGCTATTAAAGAATATATTCAAATTTTCTGTATATAGAAATGTATTATTATGATTTTATCTCGCCATCGGAGTTACTATTTTGTGTATACCGTCGGGACTTTAATTCTTGCCTGAAACAGAAAAAAAAGAAAAAATTCATCCTAAATGATTCTATTTAAATTAAAATTAAATTAAAATTAAAATAATATATAAAAATTAAAATTTTATATGTCTTTGAAAAAAAGTTACGATTTTTATTAAGTAGCGTTCATTTTTTTATGCAAAAAAAAAATTGTTAATATTAATTGTTTTAACTTTTTAAATTCATCATCATAGGAGAGTTAGCTCTTACCTAAGCTAACGAACTTCATGGAAAGTCAGTTGATCAAATAATTTTTTTTAATTATGTACATAAGATTGAAAAAAATGCATAAAACAGATTTAAGAAAAAAATGCGTTTAAAGTTTTCGTTAAAAAATGTAGTTTTTGAGTACTTACAGACGACTCTCTCGACGAGAATCTGCTATTCTAGGCATATAATAGCCCTTCATCTTCTTTATTAAATTCATTCCGAGCAATTTGGGCCAGTCTACGAGAATCTCGGGCCTCTCTCGTGTTACTCAGTTATAGGTGCTCTTGCCAGGAGATTTGTTTGTGTATTATATATTTGTGTATATATATAGCGTGTGCTCGTGCGTTGGTAGTCCAGCTCATAATATTAATTTCCAATCATGATTTCAAATTATAATTTTCATTCGTAATTTATAAAATGGCAGAAATCCCTCATTGAAAATTGCCATTCATAATGAAAACGCCAATTTTGAGTATTTTTACACAATTGAGATATTTTTGGCACCAGTCTCCACATGGTCGAGTTAAAAACTTTCGTTCGCGTTCTGGATACATCTAGACATTGTGTCAACAGAGTTTCGTTTGATAAATAGGTATAAATATGAATTAAATGCTTCTCGATACTTCTGATTCGAGTATCATGACTCAATTACAGATATCGAGGAAACATTATTTATTTTATATCAATTTATCAAACGAAGATAATTTGATGGAGGTGATCCGAAGCAAACGATCATGATCTGATAGTCATGTTCTTGCTGATGTACTGCTAGCATACTTGCATTTTGCTATCTGGATGAATATGCAAATGTTTACTAATAAAAGGAGAGGCCTTTTTTGCATCAAATCCAAAGTTCAAGATTTCAAGAGTATAACCATTGTTTAGGAAGATTATGATAAATCAAAATTGTTTATTTTCTTTTCATAGAGCTCTAAAAATTTTTGCAGAATTTTTTGTCAACTTTTTAATATTGCATTTTCTTATTGGAATTATTTTTACCAACATAAGAAAATGCGGTACTAAAAAATTCTGAAAAAATTCTCAAAACTTTATGAGAAGAAAATAAATAATTTTTGTCATTTTCTGTAAAGTTGATAGTCGGTAAAAAATTATTGAAAACCAATATTCAGCGATTTAGTAATTAATATCTTGTTAATAGTTGCAAAAATTATAAAATGATAGAGAATTTTTTGACACAGTTTAGTCTGTTCTATTCCTATGCGAGAGTTTTATCGTTACTTATCAAACATCCTGTATATTCACTAATATGAAATATACATTTAGAGACACCAATGTCTGTTAGTTATTTAAGCGCACCAATTACAGCGCCAAATTACTCTTATTTAGCTTCCTAATTACTTCTATTTATTCGATTTTTTAATTAATTGTCGATGCAATCGTCATTGACGAATCTAAATGGGATAATAAATTATGAATACATGTGTGCGTTTCTCTATGTATATATGTTATAGTTAAAGTGTTAAGTTTAAATGTATATTCTTACTAATATGCATACATTTACATATAGTATATATTAATTATAAATGTATGTATTGACTACAGTACACTACAGTTAAGTGTATACATTTACTGAGTTAACATTTTGACTGTAACATATACCATAAATTCGCAATATATTTAATTTCTAGAACTTCAGAGAATTTCACATTAGAAGAAACAGTAGGTGAATGAATATATAAATATTTTTTCTGATTGAGAGTAGTCTAAATTCGTTTAAATTCTTGGTCAGTCATAACACCGCATCTTTCTATAGGGTATATATATAGGGTACTTAAAAGTCCAGATTTTCTGGTAATTCAGGGTTTCACTTATTCTACCTTCGTAGTTAGATAAAAGATGAAGATAAAATTAATAAATCTCTGTAGTTGAAGGTATCAGATGTTTAAGGATGTTGAAAAGATGATTGATGTCCAATGTCATGATTGTTTCAACATCAAGCGATAAATCAAATAAAAAATAAAATGTAATTACTATGACTGTTGGAGAGTACTTCAGTAATAATAACTTTTAGTATATAGTTTTGATTTTTCTGGAAAAAAATTATTTAATAGAGGATTGTAAGTGTGATAAAGCATTATATTTTTAATGTGGATTCACAGAAAATCAGATTCATGATTTTTATGAATATAGTGTCTCATTTTCTAATTTTTTATAATGCAACACAAATAAGAGTTTGCAGAATTTGTTGATTTTTGGATTTGTATCTCAAGATATTCGATTATAGATTGTATATAATTAGCTCGAATTGGTAAACAAATGCTTTTCTCACGCTCATTGGATCTGGAAAATATATCGAGATTTTAATGTATGAATCAAACGCGGAACAATCGAATTAAATATATTGCTTGCATGTATAATCTTTCATGCAAATTGATTCTCTAGATTTTATTAAACATATCATCGACTTTTATTTTTATTAAAGTTAATTTAATATGATCTCTGTTTGAATTTTCGTCTATGCATTTATGATCCAATATCATTCATTTGGAGTATTAAGATAATTTTTAGTATTGATAAAATAAATAAATAATGTAATTGGAAGTGTATTACATTTCGTTTATTTTTTACTTATTTGATACTTTTTGCTTCTCTGAAACTCGTTCTACATTATCGAAAGTAAGTAAGATGACTCTATTTCTTTCTAACTATGCAATCTGCTTTACTACACGCGACAATGAAACAATAAAAAAATATTTATTCAGGGATTTCGACCTAGACGATGTAAATAATGAACTCGATCCGTGCGGTAGATATGGTAATAAGCGAATTACCAGTTATTCGCGACCAACTCTAGAAGGTCTGACTAAAAGAGGATGAAGGTGAGGGTTTTATTCAAAAGAGATTTCTAAGATTCTATACGCACGCGCGCGCGCGCGCGCGCGCACACACACACACACACACACACACACACACACACACACACACAGAGAGAGAGAGAGAGAGCACGCGCGCGCATATTGGATAAGCATAAGCGTTTTTATTCCTTTATTTAATTATTTTTCCATTATTTAATTTAATTTAATCGTTTATTTATCCTTTATTTAATTTTAATGATTAAAGCCTAATGTACAATGTATACTCTTTGTTCCTGTTTTATACTCTTCCTTCTGTGTCTTTAAACTTCTGAAGAAACGAGAAGTACATGATAAGAAACACGATTGTCGATAAAACTGTGCGCGAAAAGACAGAAAAGGTAATAAACAAAAAACAAGAACAGGAAGCAAAAACACATAATAGATTAGGCTTTAGTGATTGCAAGAAAACAGTATTCATCGTAATTCGGTTAATATTGAAAGTGACATTGACCTTGATGGAAATCGAGTCCTACTTATTATTAGAGATATGGACACCTGTTTCGGGTGGAACCAGTCGAGAGGCGTTAACTGTGGAACGCGCTTGCTTTCAGACGATGCGGTAGTGGATAATTTCGCAGAAGCGGACTCAAGGTTGAATTTAAAGAAGGAAGATTTTTTTTGTGTGCAGCACAGAGGAAGAAGAGAATTCTAGATGCTAGGCCGAATCAAAACAAAATAGAAAAGAGAAGAAACAAGAGAAAGAGAATTGATAGCGGAAAGAGGGAGCGAGGACGAGATAAGGAAGGAAAGAGAGGCAGGGAAGTAGGAGGAGAGAAAGTAAGAGAGAGAGAGAGAGAGGGTGGGAGGGTGGGAGGGAAAGGGATGGGCGCTGGGATGGGTAGAAGCGGCACGAGCGGCGGTCTGCTCGAGGCACTTCCCACAGGAACTCCTCTACACGTGGCGATGCTCGGTCTCGACAGCGCCGGGAAGACGACCGCCCTGTACAGACTGAAATTTGATCAGTATCTTAATACCGTACCGACTATTGGTTTTAACTGCGAGAGAATTCGCGGTGGCATCGGAAAAGCTAAAGGTACATCTCCCATAATTTTCCATCTTTGATTATCTGTGTCTTTTTCTAATAGATATATTTCAAAATCACCAATTTTAAGGCCTGTTCTTTTTAGCTGAACTTTTTGCATGGTTCATCTTTCTTCTTTTCTCTCCACGTTGGAGAAAAAAAAATAGATGAACCGTGCAAGAATTTAAGTTAAAAAGAATAGATTTTCAGTCTTTGTTTTTGTAATGGTAGTCTCGTTGGCTAAGAATCTAGAATTAATCTTCCTTTCAACAAGACTGTTAATGTTTTTCAAGTTATCGAAGAGAAAGAATTTTTCGCGAACGAATTTTCGAGAAATCAACGATATTACTCGCTTTAATTAATTCCAAATATTAAAATTTATCTCAATAAAATTCGAGACAAATCTCGTATATAGAAACATACAGGATGAAAGAACTGAGAGAGAGTTACAATAAACAATAATTTTTTTCGATATATTCAATAAGAAAATCAATTCCAAATTATTTATTACTAAAAAATAAAACATCTTTTTAACATTTTTCAGCAATAAATAAAATACTTTGTATTAGCAATAAATAAAAGAAGCAGATAGCCATATGCAAGATGTTCATAGTAAAAATCAAGTATTTAAAATTCTTATGTTATAAAATAATCATAGACGTTTTGGCCCAGATTGGGCTATCTTCAGTATGTTATACATACAAAATAAATATAAATCAAGCAATTAATTGTCAAATTTAATTGATTAACATTTACATTTATTCTGTATGTATAACATACTGAAGATGGTCAAATCTGGGCCGAAATTTATGATTATTTTATAACATTAACATAAGAATTTTCAATATGACTTTCGCTATACGAACATTCTGCGTGTGCTTCTTTTATTTATTGTTTATATTTATTAAGCCATTATTTAGCTATCTAACTTTGTATTAAGATTTGATAGTTGAATCTTTTTTTTCTCCTTTTCTTGCTTTCTTGTTTTTTACCAATTGAGTAAATTATTTCTACTATTACTCTCCTACTATATAATTTTTATTCGAACACATTTCTAAATCTAACATGTGTTACTGTTATAAGATTGATGAATGCTATCAAGATTAGAGAAATTGCTCGGTTTCCAATGACTAAACTAAATAAAGATTCGATTATAAATGCAATAAGTCACGTCGTTATGATTTTTTTCCACCTTAAACACAATATGTCTTTTGATCACAGGTGTTAATTTTCTTGTGTGGGACGTTGGTGGGCAAGAAAAGCTACGGCCGCTGTGGAAATCTTACACAAGATGCACCGATGGTATTATTTTTGTCGTTGACTCTTGCGATATTGAACGGCTTGAGGAGGCAAAAATGGAGCTCACCAGAACGGCGAGAAGTCCGGATAATGCGGGTGTGCCGATCTTAATCCTCGCCAACAAACAAGATTTGCCTGGTATAATTAATATTATAAAATTTATTTGAAACTTATAAATTATATTTCAAAGATATTGGACATCTTTTTAATTGGAAAGTACTATTTTATTTTTGTTGCCTTATTTATTTCTTGTTCATTTTTGTTGTCATATTTAGTTGACATGTTCTTTTCTTAAACCTTTTTGCATTATATGACGTAAGTAAACATATTTCTTTTTGTTGCAAACTTGATTCGTAGCAGTTGGTATAAACGACCGTAGCGCGCACGATGTGTTTGTCATTTCCGCGTCGTGTGAACACGTCGTATTTTTCTGAAATTATATTACACACTGCAAGTGGTTATATAAGAATATGAATAAGCGCGCATTTTTGTTAAATATTGAGTTTCCACATTGACGGAAAAATGAATTTGTAATTCAAAAAAGATAAAATATTAATAAATATAAGATATAAATTATAAAAAAATTTGTCATTAAAAAGATATATCTCGCATGATTTTAAGGTATCTTACATACACATGAAGCAAACTATAAAAAAATAGAAGAAATTTTTTTAAATATAAATAAATACAGAATAAGCATTATTTAGTTATTCATTTTTTAAATGATTATTAATTGAATACGCAAATTTATCGTTCTATTTATATAACTTTTGAATAAGGGCCTATCAAATATTATTTATCGATTTTTTTGATAGATTAAAATCTTAATATTTATTCCTATTCGGTATTCCTAATATTTCCTCCATTGTGCACAGATCATTAGTCTTTCTAATATGTATTGGGTTGTCCGGAAAATTCGTGTCGATTTTGAAGGAAAATTGAAACGCAGAAGATTTAAATTTTAGTATACATTTACTAAATTTAAATCTTTTGCGGCACAAACTTTCTGGACAACTCAATATATTATGGTGGAAAATTATATACAAATAAACTTTATATAAATATAATTTATATAAATATAAAAATTTTACGCGAATTTTTATTGAGCAAAATCATTGCAAATTGCTTTGAGTGTCTTTACTTAGAAAGTTTACTTAGTAGTTTGTTGAATTAGTTAAGAATAATATAAACATTTTACTTTATTTTGTTAACGAGTTTTCTATTATATAGGTGCGAAAGAAGTTAGTGAACTAGAGAAGCATCTGGGAGTGTTAGAACTAACCGGAATGCCAGGTAGCGCTTGTATTCGTGTGCAACCAGCGTGCGCTATTACAGGCGAAGGACTTCACGAAGGCTTGGACACACTGTATCAGCTGATATTGAAACGACGCAAATTGGCCAAACTGAATCGGAAACGGGCTAGGTAGGCCAGGGCTTCGGAAGACTGCACATGCGTCTTCTGATATTGTCGATTGCGGACAGCCTCTCCTTTGGCGACGCTTTCCACAACTTCCATCTCGTTCTCTCTTTCCAATTGCGATGAGGACGTAGCACATTAACTCGAAAGAAGTGAATGATGATCACGAAGGGTGCGATCATTTCCCTCTGACTTTCACTCTCAGTGAGATGCTTGTTGGAATTACTAGCATCAATTTTTAGATTGTGTGTGTGTGTGTGTGTGTGTGTGTGTGTGTGTGTGTGTGTGTGTGTGTGTGTGTGTGTGTGTGTGTGTTTGTATGCATGCGTATACATATAAGTATATATCAGTAGAGCTGCATGTGAATATGAAAAAAATAGAAATGGGGGATTTTAATAACTACTGTTCCTATTAGGTTGTTGCATATAACATTTTTTAATTAAAAATTGAGATTATTGATGTTCAAGTTTATGCAATTTTCGAAATTGATATATTATCTATTAGTCTTTTTGATTTATTGTTTAAACAAGATGAAATGCTTTTACGACGCCAAAACTAAAAAAAAATATACTTGAACAGTGTAACTTTCAAACATTTACAAATTTTTTTATCAATTCAGGGACTTGGACCGAAACCAATAACTGGACCATAACTGTTATTTTTGTCAAACCGAAATCGATAACCGAATCGAAATATTGCACAGGCTAATAAACCGAAATAATAATCGGATCGAAAATGTTTTTTCGGTTTCGATTCGATTTTCGGTTCAGATTTTTTAACTTCATCGGTACGATTGTCGATTATCACCAAATATACGTATTCCTGACCGAGCGTCGACTATAGTCAATAGCTATCCAGCCAGTGATAGGAAATCGGGAACAGACATCACAGCATTTTTCTCCATCCACTCACTCTGTCCCCTCTTTCGGTAAAGGCGAGAAGGAAGAATGATGAAGAAAAGAAGAACAGTGAATGGAGTATGTTTGTAATCTTACCCATACAGCACAGAAAGATTGTAAAATGATTGCAGATATATTTCATTGCAATATTGCAAATAGATTGCGCAATGTATTTGCAATATTGTTGCAATGTTATAGCATCATAAAAATGTCCATCTTAAGATTGTACTGTAATGTCGTAGCGATGTTGCAATGTATTTGTAACTATATTAAACATAATTTAAACTATAGTAAAAATAATTCTTTTATTACTGAATATAATTTAAAATAATTTGTGATATAAATGTTTAAAAATGTAAAAAAAGAACTAATCAATATTTTATATTATAATTATTATATTTTGTACTTAATTGCAAATTTTATGTGCAGATATATATATTTTTTAAATTTTACATATATAGACATATGTTTTACACTTTGCGGGTACGCCTATTTTGTACATATTCTTAATTAGTGAAATGAAAATATTAAGAAACTCCATGCTTCTATTTCATTTTCTTTGCAATATTTAAAGAATTTTTTAAATCCAAATATTTCAAGAAATTATAAGAGTTGATTATAAAGTTTGAAAAATCTTGTTGTGCAGCGGTGATAACAAATGTTTCAACGAACACTATAATTCCTAATGGTTCCCGCACACTGAACGTAGAAATACTTGTCGTGCGATAAAATGCGATGCCGATAACCAATAAGCTTACAACTCTTAAAATTTTCATTGATTACCGTGTCACATTTTGCCGCGCGGCAAGTGTTTTCGCATCCAGTATACAGAAACCAAATGAATGAAAATAATTAACAATTCTAACGTGTAATTGATGTATGTTTCCACATGTGACAGCAGTTCAAAAGCTAAAATGTTTTTTAATGTCATTTTAATGTCTGTGACAATGCTATAAGATTTGTAAACCGTAATATATATTATAAAATATAATTCCTAATATCTACAATGTTGCAGTAATCTGTAATATTACAATATTTCTGCAATGTTACTGCAAGTATGCTGTATGAATACATTCATATTTTTAATGCATCTTAGACACGCAGTTGATTTTAAGGCCCCTGAGCATTCGCTGTAGCAATTGAAAAAATGTTTGTTGTGAAAATCTGTTTACAGTATTTACATAATCTTTCATTCCATATTTTTTTTAAATTGTTTTTTTCAATAAACATTTTGTTTAATAAATATGAATTTTTTAAATATGCAATTTATCATATTATCTTTTTTTATGGTAGGTAATCATACACTCGTAACTATAACCGGAAAAAAATTGAAGTCCAAATGATTACAATCACCATTATCGATGAAAGAATTGAAAGCACTTAGTTTTCGGATTTTTTCAGTAACTGAAAAAGATCGAAATTATTATCGATAAAAGAATCGAAAATTGGATATAATCTTTGACCATAACCTGATTCGATCCGAGTCCCAGATTATAAGAATAATATTAATTTGTCATCTGCAATTGTTCGGCACAAATTTACAAATAAATTTAAAAAACAAACTTAATTTCAAATTAAACAAATTTGAAATGATATAGACATTGTGCTATTGTATTGTAAGTAGTTCTTCTCTTTATATAATTGAATTAAATTTTATATTGAATTAGATTTATTTTATATGCAACAATGTAATGATTAAAATGATCGTAAATATAAATGTGTGACGATGCTAGTCGACTGAGGAAAATCTATCGTTGCGACAAAGAAAAAGAGTCGATGCGAAAGTGGTATAAATATAAGTAAATAATTGTAAATAAATCGGAAAAGTTGTAATTTCATGCTGGCACAAATTTCAAATGCAAAGATGCATTAACACGAGCAACGAAGTTAATTAATGTCAAAAAATCTGTGACAATATAAATCGTCATAAATTACTTTGCGAAATTGGATATTTTGTTGCAAAGATTATTGCCATATTTTTTAACATAAAGCAACACAGCAATATATTTTTTTTAATTACATGCGAGTAATTTGAGTTACTTATTTCATAAATTTTTTTTATAAAATCCTTGTTAAACATATTGAATATATTGAAGGAACTTTAAAAAAGCCCTTTTATATGTTATATGTTATTAACTCTTTGATATAGTGCAGAAAAAGTTTTTTGATATTGATTTAATTTTATTCTTTTAATTCACAGAATTAATCGAATCATTTAATAAATGAATATGTTTGCAATTTTAATGAGATTATATTGCTCATCAATGAAATGTCACTATATATTTCTATGGAAAACTTTCGAGTTCCTTTCGCTCTGCTATTGATGATTATTAATGTCAATAAATTGTGCCGCTCAGAACTGTTGTTTCATCTTCGGATAAATTATGTAGTAATTTACGTATTGGATAAACAAAATAATAAGATCAAAAGAGAATAAGACAATGAGCTGAAGTTTTCCGAAAGATGGAACAACTCAGATCGTGTTCCGATATGCACTGCTAGTATTGAAAATCTATAGTTTATGTTACGTATACCATAGATTTTCAGTACTGTATATCGGAACACGCTTTCAGCTTCAACGTTATTAATGCTTAATATGTTACCTATACATATACGTTTTAAAACTAAAAAGTTCTCGAAAATCATTAATAATGGCACTAAAACATAATATTGTTATATTTAATATACAAGTACAAAAAAAATTTAGAAAGAATCAAGAACTCACTTATTTGTCATTTGTATATGTCGCAGAATTACTATTGTCTCTAGAGGATATACACGTATGCATACGTATATTAAGGTAGAGATATCAATATATACATAGTTCACGAGATATTTTATACTTTATTTTGATATATATTGACATGAAATATTAAATATCTTGTAAACTATTAATTTTTTTATAATCGTAACCTTAATATTTTTATGAACATAATAATGACATAATCAATTGGTATAATGAAAACACAGTTACTTATTTAAAAAATTATAAATTTTGCCTATATATATATTTTTTTTTTAGCAACTGTGTATTTTCTTTACACCAATTGATTTATCTTATTAACGCATAAAAAAATTAATAGTTTACGAAATGATTAATATTCATATTAATATTAGGTATAGTAAAAAGAAATCCATTTTTGCATGAAATTGAATAGAAAAATAATGGATTTCTTTTTACTACACCTAATATGTGCCAAAATAAAATATAAAAATGTCTCATAAATTGTTTTTTGATACCTATACCTTAATATTTTTATATGCAGAATAATTAGTGGAATCATATTATATTTAAAAAATCATATAATTCCATTTAAATAAATGAAGTTGACCTTAAAATCTCCGAAGCGCCTCTACTCGGATAAAAATTATTATTATCGCTATACGATAGCTATCGCTAGATATCGCTATCTTTGTACAATGTAATTTTGGTAACATAATATTTTCCTTTGAACTTTATAGATGCAAAGATATCTAAGGTGATAATAGTTATTGAGACACCCTGTATATGTGTACATATACACATATACAGAGTGTACAGAAATTCAACTGACCACATTCAGAAGGACATACCACCACATAGAGCGGACTAAACTGAGTCGAAAAGTTCTCTACCAGATTGAAATTTTCACAATATTTAACAAGATATTAATTACTAAAAATTCCCGGATATTGATCTTCAATAATTTTTTTCTCAAATACTATCCACTTTACAGAAAAAGACTGCAAGAGAAAAAAATTGTTTATTTTCTTCCCACAAAGTTATGAGAATTTTTTGTTCAGCATTTTTTCAAAATTTTTTAATACCGTATTTTCTCATGTTGATAAAAATAATTGCCACTATATAAGAGAATTGCAATACTAAAAAGTTAATAAAAAATTTTAAGAATTCTATGAGAATAAATAATTTTTATCTCGCAGTTTTTCTGTAAAGTTGATAGTATTTGAAAAAAAAATTATTGGAGATTAATAGTTGGTCATTTTTAGTAATTAATATCTTGTTAACTATTGTGAAAATTGCAAAATGATAGAGGACTTTCGATTCAGTTTAGTTCGCTCTACCTGTCCACGAATGTGTCAGTTGAATTTTCAAACATCCTCGTATGTATGT